GCATATGGTGCTGGGGGATTGAACCGCGGTCCCTGATGCTTTGCTAAGCTTGTTCTAAGTAGGTGCTTTAGACCACTGAGCCATCTCTCCAGCCCTGAGATAATTTTAGATGGCACATTAAAATGCCTCTTTGGTAAAGAAACTATTACCTAGAAGTTTCCTCATAGTGCTAAAGAAGGAAATTCACAAATACATGAAAAGATTATTAAAAACTTATTCTACTTAGAACTGCATATCTCTATGAGACCAAATTTTCTTTTCACATATTTTAAGCCAAGCAATGCACTGTAACAGATATAATACAGAAGCACCTGTTAAGTAAGATAAAAAGTATTTGCAAAATTGTACAACAATGTCATTATTCTTACCAAAATTGTTTTTTTTTTAGGAGAAAGCCACTTTTAATTGAAAAATAAAGCCATATATTTCAAATGAGACTGTGTGAAATAACAAAAGCAGTAATTTGAGAAAGCTTTCCTAAATAGTTGGCGAAATTTTGGTATTCAAGTATTGTTTCCCTGTTTTATCTTGACTTAATTTAAAGCAATACTAAAAATAAGGAATTTTTCCATAAATTAAATTACTATGAGTTAAACCTGTAGTCTACCATCCCTATTCCGAACCCACTGAAAAAAGGAGAGGAAAATTTAAACAAGTATTCCCATACTGAGAAGTTCCCATAGAAAAGCAAATTAAGTCACTCATAAGACAGCTTATATGAAATACACCAGGCTACTAAATAATAACTTATTCACAGAATTTTAAACTACAACTTCATAAGAAGATCTCTACTGTAATTTTTCTTTAAAGAACTTTGGAAATTCCAGAGTGGTTTAAGTTGGGACATTGGACACATTAAACTTTGAAATAAATTACTGAAGTTATTGCTTTAAACTGGAAAAAAACTGGTCAAAGCCTCTTTTTAAAGAGTTCTTTGTACAGCTGTTCTTAAAATTACTCATGTAGCTGCAGAGAAAATGTTTAAGCACATAGTAAACATCACTTGGGAATGAAAGAACAAAGGCATTAAGATGTATGGCTTTTTGTGTTATTAATACTATCTATAAATAAAGTCATTCCTGTTTGACTGAAAAAGGATTTTATAAAACTCCACTTGCAAAATTAACTTTTATTAAATCAAGTTTTAAAAATGTTCATGGTAGAAAAGTCAACAAGGGTTTTTTTTTTTTTGTTTTTTTTTTTTCCTCTAAATGCCCTAAGGGGTGGTTTGGCTGGCTGCAGTGTTGTGGGGATCGAACTACAGCAACCTGAGGCTGACAGCTTTGTTGGAAGCAGCCACTTAAACAACGGAGCTAAGGCCAGGCCCCCACAACAAGGGTTTTAAAAGAACCAAAATATATCTTTTTTATCAATATATGTATATATCAGCAGCAAACTACTTCTGAGATTTTTAACCAAAATTGTTTTAAAAGTTATTTTTCAAAAAATAAATGGTACTTTACTCTCCCCTTATGAATAATTTTACTTTTGCTAGAATCAGTTATCTGCAGTCTCTTTCAAGAGGGAGCACAACTATATTCACATTAATTTTACTAGATTCACAAAAATTTTTACTAATAAATAATGCTATTTTATTATTGGTTACCATTGTTAAACTTTGTCTAATTTATAAGTTAAATTTATCATTGGTATGTACAGGAAAGAATAAAACATACACAGGTCATTTAGCTGTGGTTTCAGGTGGCCAGGAGGATCCTGGAAAGCATCCTCACGAAAAGGGCAGGTCTACTCTGTGCATAAAATACTTACATATAAGACATGTAACACAAAAATATAACATGTAAGAATAAAATTTCATTGTAAAAAATGAATATTTTTCAATTCCAAGTAATAAGATATGAAGTTAATTTATAAATCAATTAAATTAATAAATTATCATTCACTAATACATTCTAAAATAAAAGTTCTTTAGAGGCATAACTTTAGTAAGGAAAGAGGTTTAAATTTCTCTGCTGGGATAGAAAGTTTCAGAGCTGTTGCTCTGCACTGATACATAATCCTTGGAAGAAAGAAATTTTATGAGCATTCTTCCCAGATTATACATCTCATGATGATAATCTGGGAATGATTATACATTTGAATCAATGATAATTCAAAAGAGAAGGGCTACCATTTTGGAGGAAGTCTGGAAAATGGGAGAATCCTGGCATTCCTAAGGAGTACAACCCGTATCAGCTTCCTGGTGGCCCAGGGGGCTCCGGCTGGCCTGTGCCTACTTCTAACTTGCTATCTAACCTGGTCTTCCTTATGCTATATCAGGAGGTACGTGAGTCCAGAGCACACTGGCTGCAGGGCCACGCAGAAGGGGGGTGAGCTCACTGGAAAATTACCATGACTCACCTTCAAGGCGGACCACCAGGGGCACCTTCAGTTCTAGTTCCCGGCAGGCTTTGGTGATTCCATTGGCTATGATGGCACAGTTGACAATACCGCCAAAAATATTGACTAAGATGGCTTCAACCTGAAGTGAAAAACAGAGAGGTGCCCATCAAAATGCTGATAACAGTCTCAAGAACAACAATAATCCCCTCAAAACAACCTGGCTAACCAAGAGAGACAATTAAAATGAGAGTTTTAGGCTTTGTTTTGCCATAGGGCATAAAGTTAAATTTAGCAATAAATAAATAACAATATGCAACATATAAACCCATACTGTCCCATCAATGATTCCTTTGAATTCAAGATGAATTCTACCACCATTCATTTATATGTTTATTATAGTCTTCTGAGTTATTTTCATACTGTTTTCTGGAACTGATTTCTAATTTTTTTATGAATAGTGTTAATTAAAATTTCAAGTACGTATTTCTTTTCTCTGTGATGTACATCGATTTTTTATTTTATCATTTATGGCCATTTATGGTACTTCAACAATCAAAATTAAGAGCTTATTATTTATTATATGATATTAACATGTAAAGATTCCACAACTTTTCAATGCTTCTGTAATAGTTCTTTAATATGCCAGGGGAAAATTCCCAAATATTAGGTACAATTTCTTATATGGCAATCTTTTTAAGAAAAAACACACCCCAAAATAAAAAGATACAAGTTCGTAACACAGGCATGCCATAAGATCAAGACACTGAAATTTTTCAAAAATGTAAATTTAAACTTGCCAAGTTAACTTGTTTATATATCTTCCATATTCAAACAAAGGCATGTAGGCCAAGGAAAAAATTGTACTTGTCTTTACTTGATAAATAGGTATAAGAAAAGCCTGTATAATTAACATGAAGAACGAGATAATGAAGAGAATTCATTACCTAGATTAATTGATAACACCCACAGAAAATAGTTATTCATCAAGCTAGAGGCATCAAAATTCCAACAATGCAGTCACAAGTAAACCACGCCGCACTAATTGGAAAGCATGTATGTGTGCGCTGCATGCCATTTTTAGACCCTGTTATTTCAGTTTGTTAAATTAACTGCACATAACACATGAAAAAAGACGACCTTCCATTTATACAGCATTTAACTGTTTAGAAAGTGTCGTTTGATGAATCTTTCTCTTTGTGTCTGGCTCCACCCCAGAATCCTGCTCATTCAGTGCAGCGAGGCCTGGTCCTCTGCACCTCATCCTCTGGGAGGATGCAGGGTGGCCAGGTAATGTGTACCAGTGGTGAGGCTCCAGTCAGCTCTGGAGACTGCCTACTGAGTGCTCTTTTATGCGTGTGGCTGGAGCTGGGCCCCAGGAGCAAGTTACATAACCTGTACTGACTGTAGTTTCTTCCTCTGTAGAATAATAGTCCTTAGTCCATAGGACTGCTGAAAGGTCTGAATAAGATGATACACACGAAATGTTTGGCACACAGCTTTAAATGCACTTAATGGGTATTTACACAATACTTTGTTCAGTAAGCAACGATGAAAATGGAAAGGTTACCTAGAGAGCAAGTAAGAAAACTTTTTTCAAAGGCAGCAGCCAGGTAGAATTTAAATATCATAGGAATGAAAACTTACTCAAGTCTAACAAAAGGTAATAACCTAGGAATAAAATAAATGAGCAATACTTTTCAAACCAATTATGAGTAGAAGCTACTCCCAAAGAAGAAATCTCCCATTACCATTCACAGCAGGCACACTGGTAAGCAGAAGCTGGCTTTCTAATGACAACTATTAAATGCTGTAAGTACTGAGGCTCAGTATAGCACGGGTTTCCAAATAACTGCGGGGTAGAGAGCAATTTGCCAGAACAATGGAAGCAACAAAGACTAAACAGCAGCAATGACTCCGTGGGGTCTGAGACTGGAAGCTACAGAATGCCTGGGCTCTGGGGTCTGTGCAGGGGAATAAGCCTCCTCTGAGCCCACCCTAGTCCCATGTGCTTCTACCATGAACAGTCCATGCATGTTTTTTTTTTTTCTTTGTGATACCAGGGATTGGATTCAGGCCCTTTATACTAAGCTACATGTACGGGCCTTTAAAGAATATTTTTTGAGATAAGATCTTGATAAGTCCTTCAAGCTTGTACTCTTCCTGCCTCAGCCTCCCTCAGTGCTGGGATCACAGGAGCAAACACCTTGCCTGGCTTCTGATCATACATTAAGGATCAGTTCACATGGCAGCTTCTCACAGCCATGCTCCTATCCAGTTCAGTGATACCTGCTCGTTAATCTACCTATGATTATGACTATTCCATAGTCAATATACCACACTTGAACTTATGTGAATGCAGCCAAATATATAGAGATGAGGGACGAGAAGGAGGGAGATGGCTATGACCTTGTGGTTTCAACCCCACTGACTGGGTGAATTCCTAGGACTGAGAACCAAATATGAGCTGCGAATGTACTGTTACCAGCCCCCATGCATCCCTTGCATGCTAGTATCTCCTTGGTAAACACAGATGTTCTTCATGCACCAACTTGTACCTAAAGATAAGCCAATCAGGATTTGATGCTGAATCCAAAGATTTTAGGTAGAGGAAGCTGCCAGGATGGAGGCAGAGATGTTTCCAACTTTAGTTTACTGAGAAACCAACTACAGCTTGTATGGAAAAAGAACCAGAGATGATGCAGGTTATACAGAGACACAGCAAGACAGGAGCAGAGGCCAGAGATGGCCTCTTCTTTACCCTTATCATGTCCAGATCTGTAAAGGCACAACTGGAGAGTAGCTTCCCTGGCAGGCCTAGACAGCAAGACAGGACAGAGACAGTGGAGAGAACAATGAGGTGTGAGAGAGCAAGACAGTGAGGGAAAGCAAGAAAGAAGCAGAGAAGGTGTTATGGTTTGTGTCTAGTTGTCCCCCCAAAGCCTCATGCAGCCATGGCATGGACTTCTTGAGTTTGTGAATAACTCATGATCCACTGGGATTATGGGTGTGAGTGCTACACCCAGCCTGGGGTGGAGAGCCTGATGCAATGTAAGGGAGACAGACTTGCTCTCTGAAGTCTTTGTTGCTGCTGCTCCTCCCTTTGCTGTTTTGCTGCCTTCAGCCACCATGAACTGCTGCCCTTGGCCATGTGCCAGTCTGCTTTGGAGGCAGATGAGTATGGACTGAAACCTCCAGTAACTGTGAGCTAACTAAACCTTATCTACCTTCATTTTGAGTGTCAGGTATTTGTCCCAGCAACCAGAGAAGAGTAACTGAGACAGAAGGGCAGCAGGAGTGATAGTGGAGAAGAGAAGAGAGGGAAATGGCAGAGGAAGAAAAAAGGCTGACCTAGACTAATGGCAGCTAGGATTCCTACAGAAGCAGTAAGACCCAGGGACACACAGGCTGCCTGGCTCAGGGAGGCAGGCCTGACAAGATGTCCAGTGAGGAGCGTGGACCCCTGGGGCCAGAGCCCATTCAAGAGGAGGTTCCACCATCCTTGCTCTCCTGCCCACAAGTCATTTGCTACAGTCAAGCATTTTAATGTAAATCTGATTGAAGGTTTCACTCTGAGCCAATTTCTATAATTAACTACTATAATCTGCAATCTCAAACTGAGAATGAAATTAAGACAGTTTAAAAATGAAAGCCTCGTGATATCATTATTATTTAGCATTTAGAAAGCATGTCAAATGCTCAAAGTGTGCTATGTGTTCATTCATTATGCAACCACTAACCGCTGCTTCATGATAATACCAAGACCAACTTTTGTCTTTTTCTGCTTCTGGCAAAGAGAATGTTAAAAGGAGACATCACTGTAAATACCTGAGAAGCTTCCAGAGGATCCCTAGCTACTTTTTGGAACAGGAGGTCTTCAAGCTCCCGATTGAGAATGAGGAGGGTTGTTATTTACTGCTTCACAAAAAGTAAACATCATCTATTGGGAGGTTAAGGTACCAGATCCACAGCAGATGTCCCAGGTTCCAGCAGCTGCTTCCCTGTGGAGTCTGTGGCATCACTGGCAGCCATGCAGAGGGCTGGTTGCTCCTTGGGGGCCTGTGCCTTTGCCTTTGCAAAATGCACTTTGGTGGGAGATTAACCCACAATGAAAAGTAAAGAATGAAGTTTGAAAAGAAGAAAAACTATAGTGTTTGTTATTTATCAAGTGCCTCTCAACCCTAAATAAACCAGCAACAACAAAAATCAATACTAAAACTTTTGTTGGATGACAGATCCTTCCAAGTGCCTGAGAAAGAATCCTTGATCAAGCAGAATTCATGTATGCAGTGTGCTGTGTGCTGCTCTGATGGAAGTGGCCTCAAAGGCAAGGCAGATAGTGCTAAGTGGCAGCACAGCACATGCATGCAGACCAGGGGTGTGGCTTTCAAGAAAATTATGAGTTGCCTGCAATAATCTATAAAATTGTGTGAACGTGCACAGGTCTGGGAAGTAATACATTCATAATTGCAAAGTAACAATTGTTACATTTATTGAGCATTTAGCAAGTGGCATGTAGTACTCTAATTATGCTACATTTTACACATAAGTGTCACATGAGGTAGGTATGTTTTTTTTTCCTTTTTGATTTTTTGAAACAGGGTCTTGCTATGTAGCCCAGGCTGGCCTCAAACTTCATGGAATACCTCCTGCCTCAGCCTCTTGAGTGCTAGGACAATACACACCTGGTTGGGGTAGGTGTACTTTTCACACCCAATTTATAGAAAAAGAAATTAAAGGTATTAAGTTACTGGAACTATAGCTTATCTACCACCAAGCCTATGGAGGCCCTACATGTATTTTTCTCATTTATTATGCAGCCAATTCATCCACAAAAATACAATAGGACTTAGGCAGTGGTAGCAAACCTATGACACCTGTGTTCATTTTTCTTTGAAGGCAAAATATATTAAATGTCTGAGTTATTTTTTCCAAACTGAAACCTCATTATTTGGACTGAATTGTAATGTTGGCATACTGTGATGAATAAGTGGGTTTGAGTTTGTAGCTTGGGCACTTGTCTCTAAAAGGTTCACCACCACTGACTCACAGCCCATTTTACAGATGAGAAAAGAGACTGGTAGAGGTTTAAAAAATATCTTGTGCTGAGTTATGCAGATACTTTGTTTCAGGCTCAGAAAA